TCTCTCTCTCTCTCTCCCCCTCCCTCTCTCTCTCTCTCTCTCTTTCAGAGAAACATAATATGCTTTCATATACACATGGTATCTAATAGTACACCGCTTGTGTGCAGGTAGAGCGGGTGCAAATTGAGCAGAAAGGTTCTCTATATTTTGTGATTTTCGTAACGAGTTATTAGTTATTAAAGATCGTAGAATGAGCGTATCCGTCCAGCCCATCAGCCAATGCAAACGCATGGCAAAGTGCAATCGTTCAAAATGTATTTGCGATTGATAGAAGCACGAGATACTTAGACGTGAAATCTATAAATGACAGAACATCTGCTTATAGTGCACACCTCCAAACATTTCGTCGTGCTCCTATCGCAAATGCATGTTGGATGATTGCATTTCGCCGCGCGCTTGTCAGATGAATATGCAGTTATTTTATGATCTTTAATAATTAATAACTCATTACTAATTGCGAGAAATGATAGAGAACTTTTCTGCTCAATTTGACCCACACTACTTTTACACAAGCGGTGTACCATTAGGAATCAAATATTTTGTATGTATGAAATAAACTTATTACATTTCTTTTTCTCTCTTTTTTTTTCTGTCTTTCTTAAGGAATCAAATAAAAAAAAACATGATTTGTTATAGCTGGCAAATTCATCTATATCCTATTTTATCGTTATGTATTCGATGCAATAATAATACAACATATTGATTATTAAAATTTAACCAAAACGCTGCAGCATATATCATTATAATACAAATATAATGTTATATGTAAAAAGAAATTAGATAATAAAAAGGTAAGAGAATTCATAATAACAATTAATTCAAATGTAAGAAATAGTGTAACTGTATTTCTATATATTTATGAAACAATATTATATATTTTCCAAAAATAATATTATATATTTTACAGACTGTAATCTTATGTAAATAAAATACACAAGCAATTTTACTATAAAAACTTTAGAAGAAATACATATGACTACATTCATCGAAAAAATAAAATCAAATATGGATAAATGAAGAAATATTAATGCGCTTGCGTAACCCTTATTTCAGAATTCCCTTGTGAATACTCTACCTTGCGAAAAACAAACATCTGTTACATTTCTTTCGGTATTAAATCGATTAGTTAAACGGCGACTGCGTTTGCGATATAGTGGTCTCGATGATATAATATAAAATTATATATATTCCAATCGAATATTCCAATCTAAATGCGAGACATTGTATCGTTTGCATAAAATTAGCAGTTAAGTTAAATTACAAACGTTTACTTAAATTGTAGATGATTAATGTTGGCACTAAAAAAATATATAGAAAATATTTAATCAAGCGAACTAAATGTGAGTAAATGAATCTTTGTTCACTTTATCTCTGTTATAAGCATTTTAGTGTTAACAGAGATATGATTGCAGACACGTATTTCAAACTAAATCGGATTCTTTATTAACAATTGGCTTATGGCCTTTCTATAAATCGAAATTTTTTCAACTTCAGTTCAAGTATTGCTTGAGATCGCAAATACTATAAAGCAGTAGTAAAAATTTTTTAATATTTAAAAATTTTATATTTTAAATTGTGAATTTTTATCTGTAGAAGAAATCTACTAAAATAAATTCATATTTCATTATTAATTGAATATTTAAGAAATTAAATTTTTAATTACGTTAATTTTAAATAAAAGCTAATTTTCTTAGTTTTCTTCTATTATTATGCATATTAATTAGTTTTTTTCAAATAGTTAGTTAATCTTTTTATCTGTAATTAATCACAAATGTGTCAAAATTCATATTAGACTTTTCAGATCATCGGAGTATAACTTTGAACAATTTTCATTGCCCTTTATTGTATCTATCTGTTGCTTTATATACATATTTTTGTCCAATTTCTTTGGCCAAGAAATTACAGATCATTACAATCACATATTTAATATGGCGTAAAGAACATTTTGAATATTCCATTATTTAAAATCTCTCTTTACAAATTGTTTTGATTTATTATAATTTTATATATAGATACAATATACAATGGTATCTAACTCCTCTATGTATACAAAAATTAATACTGATAATTCTAGTTCAAAGAGGCAATAAAAATTTTGGTTTGAATATAGATAGATTATTTGTAGCATCTTTAGAATGTTTTGCTACGGTATGAAATTTATATATATATATATATATATATATATATATATATATATATATATATAAAAATA